ATGAAGATGGGAAGGTATCTCAGAGACCTCAGCCACAACTATCACTTTTCTTGGATCCAAGGGAGAGGGTTTGCCTCCTGCAGGCTCCAAAGCGGTGGACTTCGTACCTTGGTCCCCAGAAACATCTTCCACTGACTTAGAACCGTGGGACTCCGACCCTTCATCCTCCAAATCAATGGGGGTAGTGTCTCGAGGACGTTTAGATCGGGAGATAGCTCGGAGAATTGTCAGGGACTATCAGAAAATTCGGCATTAGGGACTATCAGAAAATTCGGCATTTTTCTTTTTTTAGGAAGACCTGCCAGGATAGAAATCGGAGGGTCCGCTTTTCTTTTCAAGACACAAAGTTGCCTTACCCTTTCCTAAGCAGAGTCAACGGAGGTGGGAAGCATTATCAATACTTGCGAAGCTACCTTCCTCAAAGGGATGCCTATAAAGGGATTTAAAAAAAGACGTCAAAATAAGAAGCTTGAACAGTTGAAATGCAGTTGATACGAACACTTAACATGATCCCTGGCTCGTCACTCCGAGACCTCATATATGTATGTCCAAGACCTCTCCGTTATTGAAGAGGGCACCAAAATCTTTCCTACCCACTCTTCAATGTCCGGAATATCTTTCGGGACTAGCAACATGGCTGCCGGAAAAGAAGAAGAAAGATCAAAGTAATGAAAGATAAGGAAAGGGGGAGGGGAAAATAAGGAATATTGGTGCAAATAAAGGAAACTATGCTTAAGTCTTTCATTCCACCTTTCCGAAATAAGCCCATCCTCGGGTTTGACCAGCTCATGAGTGGGGACTGCAACAAAACGATCAAACCAACCCCTGTTATGGTCATCCTCGGCGTCAACAAGAGTCTTAGTACCTCGATCAGTCATCGAAATAATGCTCGCCCTGAGCGGTTTGAGAGAAAATATATGTAGAAGGTGCGAGAGAGAAAATGGAATGTAGGCTACACGTAATGAGAAACAGAAGCACGCCATGAGCCTACATACATTTGGCATAACTTGGCCTAAAAACACATTGAAATAGCGACAAAAGTAAAAAATCACAGGATCTATCGAGGGTTTGAACCCAAGGGTGAACGGATAAGTATAGACGAATGAAAAACCCGGTCTGTGATTGAAAATCCTTTAGATCGCCCGAGGAACATGTATGGCGACACGATCACCCCATTAATAATTACGAAGGATCTGGGAAACATGTTCTTCATGGACAAGGAAATCTATGTTATCAACATGTGAACTCCCGCATTGTCCTATCACTTTTGTTCCACGCTTCAATCACTCCATTGTAGTCCCAGCTTTTGGAAGAACTTTCCAGGTTGTAGGCTCATAGGGCTACTTTCCTTTTCTGCTTTTGTGAGATTTGGAAGCCTTCTTATCAGAAGGACCCGCGGATGAAGCCCTTGTAGGAGCGATAGATACAGAAGAGGAGACGTTTCCTGGCGGAGGTGGGGAAACACCTCTGGCTAAAGGTATAGAGGGCTGATCGTCCATTTAAAAGAAGCCAAAACTTTGGGGGTGCATGTGAGTTGCAAACAGAGGAACAGAAGAATGAAGAATTGACTAGAAAATAATGGGAATGAGAAAGGTAGAGAAAAAGATCGGAAAAGGGATTTTGAGTTAATGGGAAGGCCCACAGCCCNAGCCATCATTACCTAGGAACTGTAACAGGTAGGAGTCCAACGAAAAACGACCATGTGTTCTGGCGTATTAAGTATGGACTGCACATGAGTCGCATTAGTCCTAGAGTTTGAGTTTTATTAAAATTCTTTCTTATAAAGGAAGAATCTCTACAAAATTGATCCTTACCAAGGAAAGAAGATTACCACTTATCGAGCATTCGTCATCGAATTGCCCGACAAGTGGGGGGACTGACGGTATGGGTCAAAATTACCCTTTCCATGTGGCATGGCAAAAACGTTCCACGTGGCAACTAAGGCCTAGAGGTCAAGCAATGGGACCCGCTCCAAGTTTGAAAAGTATCGAGATCATGGTCATCAAAAGGTCAAATACGTGAAGGGTGGACGATTTCATTCGAAGACCCAGTCAACCTTATTTACAGATTATGGATGTCAATATTATGTTGAAACGAAAGCCACTATAGGAGATCCCGCTCCCCACTACCTAATCCGCTGACGTACTGGCTTGAAACTCGGACTGGCAGTTCACCTCTTATCGCTATAAAAGCTGCCCCAATCTCCAAAGCAGGGGCATCGAATACACACACAAAACCCTCTCTGTAACAAAAAATATTATGTTGTGCTAGCCTTTTTGTGACTAAGCTTTGTAATTCCGCCATACTTGTAATCAAAGATCACTTGGGACCGAAAATATAGAAGAACTTTCTCTGTTGTATTATTCTTTTTTTAATCTATTTCGCTATTTCTTGTTTATCTTTATTCATTATATGCAACTGCGTCGAATCAAAGAAATTGCTAGTGACCCTTGAAAAATACAAATTTAATTGCTTAATCTCCAAATCAATTTTGGGGTCGAACATGTTTAATGGCTACTTTTTTTAACCACCTAATAAATAATTCACATAATATGTATTTATTACTCCTGCGGTCTTTCTGAAACCTTTCACTTTTACAGTTTACATTAATCATGTACAAGTTTTCATGGCACCTTTAGCACATTGTAAGACTATAGCTAATTGGAATAAATTGATTTTTAATAATTTTACTAATGGCTGACAGCTAGGCTACTGTAGTTACCTAATATTCATTAAAAACTCTTTTCAACCTTTAGTTAGTTTTAAAAAAAGATAAGAAGAAGACAAAAGCTGTGTGTGTATGAGGGTGGCTTTTTAAAGAATATTTTCCCCTAATTATACTGGTATATTTATTGGCTCTTACAAAATAATTGTGTTGTTTATTACAACTTGGTCACATGGAGATTAAAAATGAATCTTTCTCTTGAAGCAAAAATGATGAAAACAAAAATACTTTTTCAGCGTAAAGGAATGAATAATGATTTATCCTCATCTTCTTCTTCCCCTCTCTCCTTTTGTCTTTTTTCTTCTTTTTTTTTTCATACAAATTTACGAGCCCAAACGAAACGTTAAGGATAATAAACTAATTACTTGAAAGAAGATTTTCAAAATGATAACTTAAATTTTTAAATCCTTGTATTGTACATTTGAACATGTATTTTATCTTTATTTAAATGACTCTAACAGAATTTTCGTATATATATATATATATATATATATATATATATATATATATATATATATATATATATATATATATATATCCACTACCAGGGGCGACTCAAGCTCATCTGGGGCCTAAAATCAAAGTTTAATATGAGACCTAAATTTTTTAAAAGAAAGTTATAAGATATATTTTTATTTGAAGTCTATTCTTCTAAATTTTTGAGATACGAAATTGTTAATAATCTTTTTTATAATCGACTTTCTCTAATAATTCCTTTCCAATTGATAATATAGCGAACTTATTTAATCTTTCTTGAGATATTGTTGATCTTAAATAAGATTTTATATAGCAATAGACGTATAAAACTATTGGAAGTTTAAAAGTATTGTTGACCACTCGAACTAATCAAATCTTGGAGAAAGAAGGTGATGAATGGAATCTTGGAGAAAGAAGGTGAGAAAGAATATTAAGGAAAAAGAAAGAAAATATGTAGGAGTTTTCTAAAATATAAATAGATTGGGGAAAGAAAGATTGATTTGGAGTGACACGTAATCTAATGAAAAAAGTAAAAAATTAAAACGTTAGAAAAATTATTCATCTACCCATTTTAAGTAAGCAAAATTATTACTTTATTTATATATCTGAAGAGCTTTTGTATTATTATAAATTTTATTTTTATATTAAAAATATTAAATATTATTTTTTAAATACTTATAGATCTATTATTTTTAAAAAAGAAGGCTCTCCAAATTTAGGGCCCAAGTCACAAGACTTACTATTCCTAACTGTAGAGTCAGAGTGGGCCACTACAAATGAATAACAAATGTAGAAATTTTCGAGAGTAAAGCATTAACGTCCGGTGTTGATTATGCAATTTGGATTTCTATAACAAAAATAAAAAATAATAAAGGTGAACTTTACACGTCAGTAAAGTTGACAATTCACAAAATTACCTCCTTTTAAAGAAAACTTTCTTCTTCAACAAATAAATTTTAAATCATTTTATAGTGTTTGGATAGAGTAAAAAAGTATTTTTAAGCATTTATTTTTAAGCTAAAAGACAAAAATAAGTTAAAAGCTAAAATTTTTAACTTATGGTTTAAAAGTTATTTTAGCTTAAAAGTCACTTAAAATAAGGTCATCCAAACTGGCTCATTATCACATCCCACTCTTGCACACTATTCCAATTATAATTTGAGTTTGATATTTTCCAACTCAAAGAAGAAAGGGTACTAGAATGGAAATCAAATTATGTATTAAAGCAATGTCAAATTAAATCACTAATATCCAACAAATAATTATTATTTCTCCCAACTCTTTTGCACTCTTTATTTTTCAAGAGTCAAATTCACAACTTTTTGAAGTTAAATCGAGCTTATTATTTTCTAAGAGTAAAATTTAAATATTGAAAAAAAAATAAAATGAAAACTCACTAAATTTTAATTCTTAAATTAACATTATAAAAATGTGTTGTTAATTTGTTAGTATAATTACTAGAATAATAATTAGTAATTAGCAATTGAAAAAGCCACTAACCAAATCCAATGGTCGGATTCTCACATCCTATCCTAAACAATCAAAAGATGGACGTAAAATATCAAAATTTACTCACGAAGTCTCTTTTGTCCTAATACGGTTGCCCCAATATATGTGGACAATTTTCACTTTCCTCCAATTCTTTCTTTTTCTCCCGTGTAAAATGAAAAAAATGAATGTCCCAAAGTGGGGTCCACATAATGTGGCGAAAATGTAGAAAGGATACAACAGATATGATGATAGTGGCGAGAAGACAGCTCGGTCATGTTATCTATCTGGCACGACAATACATAGCAACTCCGCCACTTTTTCACGTCTCTTTAACCATTATTAAACTCTTTCAACTGTGCTCGTAAATAATGTATATTCATCTTAGTTTCTCTTTCTTTTTTGGTTGAAATTTTTGAAAAGCTTTGGAGGGTAATACTGTTAGGGAAGATAAGGAATCTAACTTTAACTTTTTTGGAGACAAAAATTCTACTACCTTTTAATTGCCTTCTTTCTCTAGGCTTTCTCTTTATGCTTTGCTTTTCCATTAGGACTATTCTCACTTTCTTGAAAAGCACCCAAAGAAAGTCCCACTTTTTATTTTTTCTTGCCTCCATCTTCTTTTTTCTGAAGAAATCAATCGCTCTCTTGTGATTTTTTGGAGCTTCATACATGCAAAGATGAAGCCTTTTAGCTCTGTAAGTCCCTCTTTTTCTTCTCCTAAATGGGGCTTCTTTTATGCTCTTTCTTCTTATGATTGTCTATATATTGCTGTTTCTAAGTTCAAATTGTCTTTTTTTTCTCTGGAAGATCTTTTGGAGGTAGTTTGTGTCTTTTTTAAGAGTCATTTATGTTTTGCTTCTTTTAGGTGTTTGAGGTTGACATGGTTAATGTACTTTACCTTTGAGGTTGGTAACTCGGCAGGGGAACAATAAAGATAGTCTTTTTTTACTTCTTTTTCCCAATATATTTCAAGTTTTCATTTTTTAAGTTTTTGGGAGTTTGAAGGAGAAACAGAATTATTGAACTGTGCTACTAAAAAAAAGTACCATAAAAGTAAGGAGGGGTCAGTGGTTTTTTATTTTTATTTTTAATGACTATGGTGCCCATGCCCGTTTGTGCTCACCTCGTCTGTTCCACCGGTCAGTGGTATTATTTTTAAATGGATTTAAGAAAATGTTCAGTCGCTCTAATCCTATGTATCAACTTATTTGTTTCATGTTAAGTTACTTTTTAATCATCTCCTAATTTTTATGTGCTCTTCAGATGCATTATCTAGTTAATAGATTAAACATTTAGATAATAAGTCTTAAGATCTTGAAATGTTTCTTAGTTTCCCAAGAGAAGTTAGGCAGTGTACCCTGTTAATTCAGTTAATTGAAGTTCTTTTTAAGTTTGCATTAACCCAAAAGCACAGTGGAAGGAGAAGAAGCTAAGGGGATAGGACTACTGGGAGTAATGTGTTTTTGGACTGGAAGCTAGATCTTTTATGACAACAGTTTGTTAGTGTTTAAATTTGTAAAATGATTACAGTTCTGGTCTTGCCCATTGACCTGGTTAATGTGTATAAGCACTATGTTACTTGGACTCATCACTAGTATGTATCCAATGCAGATATGTCTAAATATTCGGTAGGGTACGTCTAGTTATTTGCTAATATTTGGTATATTTTGAAAGATCCACACGAAGTACCCCACACCAATATCAATTCCGTTCAAAATGGTACGTAAAGGCAAATGGAGGATTCGTTTAACATAGTTAAGCACCTACTGCTAGTACTAGAAGTACAACCATTCTCATATATGATAACAGAGATCCTCCATTTATACCTATCACAACTGCCACTGGTATATTCTTCTTTTCAATCATCAGAGTTTCACTGAAAATTGACCACATTAGTCTTATTGGTTTGTTTTTAAAAGTCATGTAGAGCTTCATCTTCGATAACATGTGTGTGATAAGCCGTTAATGTGGGATAATTCACAAACTCCTCCTATTGATTAACTTTTACTACAAAAGCAAATATAGTAACCACATCATCAAGATACTCCATCTGTCCCAACAAAAATGTCAATGTTTGTCTCTGTGCTTCTATTAATATGAGAATTGAACATTTTGTATTGCTCAGCATAAATAGGGGGTTAAGTTATCAAGTTTTGTAGACATTGCATTGTCAAGCTAATGGACATTACTTGGAAAGGAAACGGGACATTGAATTTGGGATGTGATAATACTCTTTAATGTATTAGTTATTTTAATATATGCGATTATGTAGTAGGATCTGTACTTGTTTGATTTATCTATCATCATGTCATCTTTTCAGGTTTCCCTTCCTGATCCTAAAAGTAGATCATGTCTCTGCAGCATCTTCATCACTGTTGCTTTGATTTGTGCTATTTACTTCACTGGAAACGCTTTTTTGGCCAATGATTTCAGGGTACAAATTTGTTGTCACATTCTTTCATTGTTATCTGTTTCACATATGTAGAATTTACATAAAGTTCAATCCTACTTGTGTTGTTCTTTTCTTTGCCTGAAGTGTTAAATTAGTTATCCCTTGCATGCTCCGCGTAAAAGCAAGTAAACAAACATCAGATTTCACTTGCTTTAGGATGCATGACTACCATATATTGTTCTGTGTATGAAAAAACAGCTCGTCTCTGAACTAGTTCTCTACATAGCGAGTAGAGTTTGTAAACTATGGCAATAAGAATGAGATGACCCAACAAAAATTAAAAAAGGACTTCCCTCACACCATTGCATTGGTGCTATACCATTTACTCAGGGGTTACAACCTTTAGTTTATCAATATTATTTTTCTGAATGACCTATAAGAGGTCAAGAACTGTGAGAACTGAATGATTGAGTGGAGAGTGTTTTAATTAGTCTTTCATGTTGGTGTAATTAGAAAATATGCTTTTACTTGTAACGTAAAAGTGGACAATTAAAACCCTTTTATGCCTATTTAGAGTAAGGCTTAAGTGATGCTGCTATATGCCATGAGCAATCAAACTTGAAGTTCTTTTAAAAAAAAAACCGTTTTATGTCATTCTATAATCTTTAGGTTCACCTGAGATATATATCCATGTCAGCGAAATATATTCACTTTATTATTCCTGGATTTCTTTCTATAGCCTAATAACATTCTCCGAGGTTCGGGTGAATTCACGTAATACAAATTTCATGCTTTAGTAAGCGGCACGCTGATTTTTGGTCGAAGGAGCTTTCTTGTTTCTTGTGTTGCCAAACTGTCAATAATTCTGTGTAGGATAACGTCTCAAGTATGAAAATGTTGTAGTTGCATGAGATCTGGTACTATAAGCTTAATAATTTGAGTATTTGCAGGTGTTTTTAGGATTGGGAATGAACAACTCACAACAGAATGCACAATGTGGTACATGTGAGGTTTGTTTCTACAGAAAATGAACTTGAACTTGTAGGCTTCTTTTCATTTGTGGAAATTCTGCACCTGATTTCTGGTTTTATAAGCCCTTTCAAAGACAGAAGTCTCAGGTGTTGATTAGTTTTCGATTTATCTTTTTAAAATTGAAAGTTGTGACTCATGCTGTATAAAGATGTATAGAAGATTCAACTAAGAAACTGAGGATCTCTGAAAATCCTGTTGGCTACTTTCCTCTTCCTGTCCTCTCTTGACATTTGTGTAGATTGTCTTTTATCTTTTCATTGTTCTACAACTTCAGATGGTCTTTGTTTGCTTCCTCTAGTCATTGACTTTCCGAGACATAGTTATCATGGATTCCCTTTTATCTTGTCAGTGTTCTATGATGTCAGATGGTCTCTGGTTGCTTCCTCTGATTTTGACTTTTCAAGACACCGTGGTATCTATGTCTGCCTAAGAACTAGTATCTGTTCTCTTGTAGTTGTTAGATAGTGAGGGACTTGGTGAAAAAATCGATTTTTCTCCCGTGCATTCTTACAATAGTACCTCGTATGTGTGTGCTTTAAGCTTCGGAAGTTCTTTATGTAGCATGCATGTTAGTTCTAAGATTCTAAGGAGTTAATATGAAATTTGTATGCTCCAATTACCTGTCCCAAAAAGACAGAAATATCTTATTTCCTTCATTTTGAGGGTTCTAGTAAAATTTGGAGGCATGCTGCTTGAATAAAGATCTGTTACTAAGCTTAATAGGCAACTTAAGTAGTTTTTGCTGTTTACTCTGCATATTTCCTAGTTTCTCTCTTTAAATCATTGCCTTACTAGACGAATGATTTGAAGTTGACTTGTGGAATGGTTTGCTTGTAGTGCATATATTTGGCCATTCAGTAGCGTACACATGATTCTTCGTAAGAGGTGTCGATATTTGATTACTTTTCAAGTTTTGGGTTTTTAAGGCTGCTTAAATCTATATATTTATATAATTTAGGGGCATTGGGGAGGTGATGTGGCATGCTCTAATCACAGAATTCCCAGTTATCTTTTTTCTCAATTTTTTGCTATTTTCCCCTTTATTTTTATTTATGTGATATTTGTAAAAGCCCAAAAGACACCACTGTAAACATTTGGTCCAGACTACAACAATCCAAAAAGTCACGTCTATTACACAAACGAACAATTAAAGAAACATTTCAGTTACAAATCAATTTTTCTTTATATTAATGATACTTAATACTAATTTTATTACAAGATTTATTGTACTTCACAATATTACAAATGAAGCTTTTCAGTCACTCAGAGGACCACGAGCAACCAACTGTGATTTTTTCCATGGTAGTTGGACTATGATGATTCATTTACCTTTTACAATTCATGTTTCTGCAATTAATTCTACCACGTTTACCGCCATGCTTTTTGTATTTCTAACTTCATTACCGCTCCTGAAGCCTGAAGGTATTATTAACTTACTCTATTTCCTCTTGTAGAAGAACCTATACCTATGCTTAATCACGTATTACATTTCCATGTTTTTGCTTTGTTGTTTCTCTATTTGAAAGTCCATTGACTTTGTAGTTGTTTGTTATTTGGCGCTTGACCGTTAAATTGAACACAACTTTTCATTCAAGAAGATTTGAGTATCTCATTAACCTTTATGGCTTAAATCAAACTGAAACAATGACGACAAATTTTTGATAAAATATTTGAATCATTAAATTTACAACTGTTACTATTCTTATGATCTTCTTGGCCTTCAAGGTATTCCGTGTCCGGAGTCTGTGATAACATGAATTTATAGTCGAGAATGATTAGTGTCGAAATAGTATGAGAATCTGTTTCGAAAAAAGAACAATGTTTAAGAAAATCTGGCGTAAAAATATTTGTTTGGTTATTTTGGATGGGAAATAGTTCCAATATGCCGTGAAAAGGGGCTCCAGTATGGGAGAAGTTGAAAAAGTAATGGATGAAAAGGAAGGGAATGAAGGAGAAAATAAAAGGGAAACAAAGAGAAAGAGGATACAAGAAATGAGAGGGAAGAAACGAAAAAGAATTGCTGAAGAGTCGAATTGCATCCATCACGTATGACCGCATATGTTTCTCTTTTTTTTTTCCCTATATATATTTTAAGTAGAAAATAAGAAAATGAAATTAATTAATTTCATTCTCTTCTGAGTTCTTCCAAAAATAATTGCAGCATCCTAAATTTTGAAAACAATTTAATTTGAACATTACATTTAGTCATAATGATAAGCTTTTATGATTACACAAATATTATAACATGTTTAGGATCATAAATTCCAACTTTCAAAAGCCCAATGCTCCACAAATATTACAAAATACTTAATAAGGCCTCAAGTTTTAAAAATCATTATTTCTTTCTTAAACTTCATGTCGCTTCCAATTATGCCAGAATAATCTAAATAGAGTGGATAAATTAAAATAAGAAAAGTTAGATAACATACTTACAAATATTAAATCTTTGTAAAAATAAAAAAAATCTCGAGATTTCTAATTATGTCTAATTACCTTCATGCGAGAGTAGAATTTCTAAGTTTCGAGATAGGGCCTTCTCTATTTATCTTTTCTACGCACCTACATGAATTGCTTATTTATTTATTTGTATTTTTTCTCTAATAGCAGAAAGAGGCAAGTCGATATGTGAAAGTTATAGATTGCCTCTCAAATGATTCAGAAAGTTAGAAGCTTTGCTCTTTTTACCGTTGGTGTGTGTGTATATATATATGTCATGATAGTTATTCTAATACATCAATTGTACTATGATTTATGTTGTATTCTTGAGTAAGGTGGCAATGGCACTACATTTGTTTTCTTTTTTATTTGTTCCCTCCCGGCTGGTACAGCGCAAAGCGCGGATATATATACTAGTTTTTTATAACTCAGGCTAAATCAACGGGGTTCAAACCATTGACCTCTCAAAAAATGATATACCAGCAAACCAGTAGATCCTTCTTTTACAAGCAATGTCATTTTTTCTATTTATACCCAATATTTTCGTTTTGCTTGACCATGTTTAGTAAATTTTTTGATGAATGACACCGCTTGGGGCAATATAAATCCCCTGTGGCTATTTGTTTTGATAAAGCATACCTGGTCTTCCACAATACTGCAAATGTAGTGACAGTATATTTTACGTCCAAGATTTACCTTATAAAATTTATGCCCAAGAGAAAATTATAACTTGGGTTTAAACTAGTCAACCTAATTGATGAGAACAAAAGAATAATTTGGTTGAGACAAGTCTACCTAGTCTTTCAGAAAATAATACAATTTGATTGAGACCAGTCTACTAAAATAAATTTGGAATGTCTTGTTCTTTAATTACACTAGCATATCTGTGAATTAACTTAAAAAGTTCCTATGTAGGTACAGTTAAGACAGCAAAAAGAAGCGAGTCATACATCTACCAAATGCAAGGTTTGCTATTATTTTTATTTGGTTTTTGATTTCTGGCTTCTTTTAAATTACTCATTTATTCCTCACAGGAAAAGTGCAGGCCATTTGGGAGTGAGGCACTTCCTGAAGGAATTGTTTCGAAAACTTCGAACCTGGAAATGCGCCCGCTGTGGGGTGATGTCGATGTACGTAAACAATTCCATATATCATATATCAAGTTTTTCATGTAATCCAGTAATAATGCTCTATTCTTCTCCGTGGTTTTCTGATGACAGATTGCGCCTTGATTTTGATAGTCGAAGTAGGATCTAAGGGTGATGCCACAATTATGTTTATGTTGTAAAGTTGATGGAATATAGAATATCCAAGTCCAGAAGGAACGCATTAGTAATATGATCGTTTTATTTCATATAGAAAATGTATATAATTACTCTCTTTAGGCCACTCAACCACTGGATCTAGGATGTTGCAAAGCTTCTAATAGTGATGTAACTGTCAATTTTCCATCCATAACTTGAAGAGTAAAAAATAAAGAAAGATAGAATTACTGAGGCATGTGGAATGTCATCTGGAAAAAATGGTGATCGGATACTGCAGGTAAAATTTATGCGTTGTAATCGTCGTGCTTGCACTATGTTTCCCTGGGTGCAATGTTGTCCAAATTCATTTGTGAGAGCAGAAGTCGTCAGCAGTTCTAGCTTTTACCATTTTATCTGTCCACAAGCCCCATAACTAGCATAACTTTTTCTGATATTTTCTCTGTTTCTTATTGCTTATTATGCAATATTTCCATTCAGAAGAAGTCGCCAAATTCAGTTAATTTGTTGGCGATTGCAGTTGGAATAAAGCAAAAAGAGTTGGTGAACAGCCTCATTAAAAAGGTATATATATATTCATCTTTGCCTCCTTGTTTGGCTTGAAAATAGGATCATAAGTTCTGCTCCTCATATCGGTTATATAACTTGCTGCAGTTTCTTGAGCATGACTTTGTTGTGATGCTGTTTCACTATGATGGTGTGGTGGATGAATGGAACGATCTGGAATGGAGTAGCCTTGTCATACATGTCTCTGCTATGAACCAAACAAAATGGTTAAGTCAGTTCTGGACAACTTCTTTGTGTTTACTGTAAGTTTTGTGCAGCTTTTCACACATCTAACTCTCTGGTTATAGGTGGTTTGCGAAGAGGTTTCTACACCCTGACATAGTTTCTGAGTATGATTACATTTTCTTGTGGGATGAGGACCTTGGAGTTGAAAGCTTTCATCCAGACAAGTTAGTGCCTCATTTTCAGCTACATTATGAAAATACATCGCTTGAACATCTGAAATCTGTGTTAAAAGAGCTGTCGGGTGGTTTAGCAAAACAACTGCTTAATATTTGTTAGAAAATATAAAAAATTTGTCATGCTCAACAGCTCAAGAGAAGTGGGTACCTAAGTGATAATTCACAAGAGATTGCTAGATAGTTAGGCCTATTAGTTTGCCATTTGAAATAACCTTTTTAGTGGCCATTGTCTTTTCCAGGTATCTATCTATTGTTAGAGAAGAAGGGTTGGAGATATCACAGCCTGCACTTGATCTTGGTAAATCAGAAGTTCATCATCCTATTACTGTACGCAGAAGGAACTCTAGAGTACACAGGTTAGACAGATTTTCAACTTGGTAGGACAGAGTTAATCTTTTATGAGTGGAAGAGCTACTGAGTAGCTGAACTATCTAATGTTATATGAATTAGAGCTCATGGACCAAAGACTACTGCGCTTGGCTTTCTCTTCCTTCTTCTCATTTACTTGCTTTGGCTAGTGAGATTGAAAACTCGCTGAAAATGTAGTTGGTTTTTAAGTTAAAAAGTTCGAACAGTTTCTTTCTTTAAACCATTATTCTCCTTATGATTAGCGGTTGTTTTCATGCAACATCTACTTGTGGTTACTGAGGACATGACCTTGCTAGGAGAGTGTGGAGGTTGGGAATTCGGGTAGAAGGTTAGTAGATAGGCGGGAGTGTCTCATTTTCATGTTTGTAGCATTAGTATTAATCTCTTATCTTCATACCTTCTTATCCGTAGGTTTCTTTTACGATATGTTGATCCTTTCGCTATCTTGTCACCTTATCTCTTTATCTTGTTGGTGTTACTACATGTTGTGTCTGCTTCTTTTACTTTTATCTTGAGCCGGGGGTCTAACGGAAACAGCCTCTCTACCTTCACAAGGTAGGGGTAAGGTTTGCGTTACACTGGTTTTTTTTATTGTTGTTGTTGTGTCTACTTTTGTTTTAGTTGGAACACCTGTCTGTTTTCTAGAAGATTGTTGGATACATAACATGGGCCCCAGCATTAAGTAAACCCAACCAAGAATAGGGATAGGGATGGATGATACCATGTTGAAGTGTATAAACATCTCATCTAAAAGCTTAAGCTGTTAGAGAAGTCACATTTTTACTTAATTATTGCTGGAGAATCTCATGCCAAACTGACTTGTAATTTTGATGCTTTCAATAGGAGGTTTTATAGGTTCAAAGGTTCCTCAAGGTGTGATAACAACAGCACAGCGCCTCCTTGTGTAGGGTAAAGAACTATAAACTGTTCCTTCTCTTTATTATCAGCTTAACAAGTTCCGCTCAAACTAAATCTGGTAGCTCTAATCCTCTTTTTTCTTATGGCTTGGAATGTTTATTATGGTCACCAGTCAGAATGAACTTTATTTTTATTCCGCAAGTAAATCTGTCATGCAGGTGGGTGGAAATGATGGCTCCTGTATTCTCAAAAGCTGCCTGGCGTTGTGCTTGGTATATGGTCCAGGTATAGGAGCTTTGCTTAACAACGTAATCAAGTCGACTTATACATGGGGAACAAAGTTGTTGATAACATGTAGCTTATACCGAGAATCTGCTTAATGATAATATACTTTTAAAATTTCCTGATAATCTTGTGGCTGAAAATTGTGCTTGCCTTTAACTAATTATTCTTTTATCAACAGAATGATTTGATCCATGCTTGGGGCCTGGATAAGAAGCTTGGTTATTGTGCACAGGCAAATTCCTAAAATAGTGTTTTTGACTAACTCTTCGTTTTGAGTCTTCAATTGGTATGATGGTAACACATAAGCTCTTAGTTCTCAGGGTGATCGTACAAAGAAAGTTGGTGTGGTTGATTCAGAGTACATAACTCATCTGGGTGTCCCTACACTAGGTGGTGGTAATTCAGATGGAAATAAGGCAAGTAATTTCTTCGTCTTGTTTGATACTCTTCACGTGAACAGACATTGACAACTGTTCCACCACTGTTTGTTGTTTCATCTACTACCCTGGTGGCGTACTTCTTTATCCACTAAATTAATGCAGATTACCTCTTTATTTTCATCAGTAAATAGGATTACAATGTTGCACAGTTGTGCATATGACAAAGTGTATTGGTGTACAATATGAAGAGTTCCTAAAGTAAAAAATGTGCCTGCTATTCAGCAACGAGTGAACTTCGTATAACTGTAACGTCCTTTGCAGTTATCGACTGATCCATATCTTATCTGATAGTTCCATTTCTGTGTTTCTTTTCTGTGACGGGATTGGTTGTAGATCATTCTTGGTTGAGAAGTTAAGAATTTTCTCCAGAGGAACTAAATATGGGTTAAAGGTTGTTACACTGCCATTTATGCACTGTTCTTTGGAACCTGTGAGAGAGCGTGCAATGGCAATATGATACATTAAAACATTGTGATTATCAATATAGTTTGCGGTTTCTATTATGATAGTGGAACTGAAACATTTGTATGTAACTGGTCCTCTCTCTTTCGTGTTTGCTTCTTGTGGTAATGGTTATAATGAAGTTCTAGTTTTTGACTTGTCTCACACCGTTTGGTTCTAAATTCTCTAGTCGAGCAAAGAACTGGCAGATCATTCTCCACAAAGCAAGAATATGTCCGATTCAGAAGCATCGGTACGATGTTTAAATCTGAATTCCTTAATCGTGTCTGTCCTGTCTATGGATGTTGTCTAAATTTTACTCTCTGTCTATTGCAGGCAACTGCACTTTATGAGAAATTTGATAATAGATCCCTGGTGAGTTGAAATTCTCGTGTACAACATATCCTTTCTGCAGTGCTGCTTTTAGAGATCCGTCTTTGTTCTAACCTTACTACTAGCCTATTGAAAGCACCAGTATCCCTTTGTTTAAGGCTTTCACCAACAACAATTATCCTTCTCATATTGCTAGGTTATTTATAATATACTGCAGGTTAGAAATCGATCTTCTATCGAAATGAAGATTTTCTGGGAAAGATGGGTTAAAGCCAGCAAGGAAGATGAATGTTGGGTTGATCCATTTCAAAACCAAGAAACTGAACCTCGTGGTTAGTACATGATTGATCACCTTCTACGAAACAAGCAGCGTTTGTGTATACAATGTGTACAGAAGAGTGCTAGTGCCTCAGAAGCTGTAAATTTATTACAGCGTGGATAGAAAGATAAATCAAGAAGCAGCAATACGATCCTTTTACCTTAAGCATGTAAAGATGAATCCTCGAAGAGCGTTCTACTGACGGTGTATGGTTCATGCAGCATCTCTAGCGCGGGAAGGAGAAATCAAGTCTTTTTGTTCTTTCCTTTTGCTACTATCTTTTTTTTCCCTCTCCGATTTTCACACTTTGGTTGGGTCTGCTAAAGATTAAGTTTTGTGCAATTTGTAAATACCTTTTTCTTCTTTTGACTAAAGACTGTTGCTTGTGTAATGTACATAAATTTTTGTCAAAATCAATTTGTTTGATTTTATCTGGTTGGTATAACTGTCTTTCCTCTTCCTTTTCTTTCTTGTTTCTCACATTAATTGATATCTGCTATTCTGCTTTTATGGTAGCTCTAATTGGTCTTTATTTGTTTTCAGATTATACTATTTTGCCAGAAATTCTTCAATCAGTCAATAATATCCCCAATTTTGGTCTCGTACAGTCAAACCTCTTTATAATAACATCCATGTATAATAGCCATTCACTATAAAAGCGAGTTATTCTCGGAACCGAATATTATATTATGTTATAATATATGTCCTCTATAACAACACTTCACTATAGCAGCCAAAACATTTCGGAACAAACGAATCTGTTATAGAGAGGTTTGACTGTATAACCCATGTCATTGTCTCCTATTGGGAAAATGCACCTTTCAGCGTCTCCCCTGCCAACTATCACCAATACAATGTGATAACAAACTTCACCAGATATAAGCCCCATAAGGTTTCATTAAATAGCGAAGAATTCTGCAGGAATCATGTTTGCAGCATTGAACTCAAAGAAGAGAGGATCATGACTTCCCTGTCCAGGAGATTAGTCATTTTTATCGCTTGGAGAAAACAGATAAGATAATGTCATTTCAAGGAAAACAAAACAAAGATTACATGTTCATTTTAATATCAAGAAACTTAATCAGAACAACTCATGCAGAAAATTCATTTTACTAACAGCTGATGTTTAGATGGTGTGATTTGCTGTCATTCAAAGCATTTTTGTTACTTCTGACTTACTGTCCAATGCTATCTTGGACACTGGAAAATATGTAGTAGTTCATTTGTTTGCTCTGTGAAGTAAAGGAAGTGCCAAGCAACTATATTATGTATGTGGAAAGCAAAATTTATGTACTAACCTTAACCACTATCAATGGATACACCGATACTAATAGTAAACAAGACTACACCCATGAAAAGAAAATGAAGAAAACCTATCTCACAGACACACTACTATAACGCCCGCGCCCATAACGAGAAGGATCATCATATGATCCAACAAAACTATGAATGGACCCTATGAGATACTTGTAAACAGTTGAGAAATTGTAAAGTGGAATGCAACTATCAGAAAGAAGGACGAAACGCTCATTTGAGAAGTCCAGCAGGGCATTGGCCAAAAGTCGCCTCTCAGCATCAACCAGTGTTACAGATCCCCATTCAACCTGCTGAAAAGAAGAAGAAAAATGGTTTAGCAGAGTAATTAGTAGCATCCGTGTTTAAAGTGTATCTAATTCAAGTAATCTAAGTCTAACTAATCCAAAGCCAGTTTTCAGTCTCAAACAACAGAAATGTTGATAACCTCTATAGCGTTTTCCTGCATCTCCTTCTCCTTATCAAAGTATAATCTCACTGAAATGCAACTACACAACTGCATATTCCTTTTAACTCCACCTTTTTCTCCTTTGTTTTCTCCAAAAATCTCCATTGCAAACATGACATAATTATCACCAGCACTCCAGCCACCTAACTCGTCTTCTATCATTGTTGGACGAAAGTGAATCACACAGCTCCACAACTCAATTTTAGTAGTAAGTAGCAACACTCAGTACACCTTGTAAACCAAATTCCCATCCATTTACATCACAAGAGGTAACATATTACACAGTTCAGCATATTTTTCATTTATTCACAAACGAAAAGTTTTCCAGGAGACAGGAAATTCGATGCTTGCAGCAAAGAAGGTAACTGTGCTCCATTGCTGATCAGTGCAATATAAGATTCTTTATATATGCTGATCAGCATATGATACCTTTAGCCTCACACAAAATAAGCACGAAAGAACAGCAATAAACAAACTACAGTACTAAAGTCGTCAAGAAACCATACTCAACTTGGGATCTGGCGCTTGTAGAAAACTGAGGTATTGGAAACACTAAGCACATATCCTGGGAGCGAATGAACATATATCGAGTATTTGTTCACATCCTTCCCGTCAAAGAACCTCTCCCACAATTGCAACAATGGTAAATCTCCCCTAGTCAAGAGCATAAAAGCCACTTTAGGCACTCTCTTAAATGGATACTCTTCCTTGTAAGGCACCAATGAAGCCCTCCAAAACAATTCATCGTTCCGATAATCCATGTATCAATACTTTGGGCATACCGAAACTTCACATGCTTAAACAATCATCCTTTTTACAATTGCCACTACTATCTTTGTTCACTGTATTAGCCAATGCATTATTTGCAATAATAATCTGCTGAGGTTGGAAAGTAAAGTACCATTTAATATGTGAGGTTGAAGACAATCCAATTACTACCCCAACTACAAATATGATCAACATTAAAATCACCCTTAAAAGACTAATTGGTAAGTCTTTTGCTACTGAAAATGGTGAGTCTACGTCCTCTCCCTTATTCTTCATCTTCACCTCCTCTTTCTTCTACTTTTACAACACAACAATAACACCTCAATTCTAAACTAATTGGGTCAATCCTCTATAGTCCATTTGGATCCGTTTCAAATAAATAAACTAGTAAATTTTTAGCCTTTCACAAGCAAAAATCAAGACCCACTTTCCAGAATCAAAATTGAAATCTTTGAGAATACAACAATTATTACACTCTTCAATAGAAAACTAAGTTGAGTTTGGCTCTTCAACATATATTTTCTGAATACCAAAAATCTGAGACAATCTATAACAACAATACGCTATGCGATTATCAATCCTCTCTATCTATTGATTCTATTCTGTTCTGATTGGTCCAGCTCATTCATAATCTGTGAAGATAGTTTGTAAAATAACGACTACGGAGCACGGACAGAAGGTATTACCGTTTACTATGATGCGCTGGGCTGCTTTAATGATGTCTCTCACTTTGGTTTTTGCGCTCACAAAATTTCCTATTTTGCCATTTCTATTTCATTTTTCTTTTACTCTATCGCGCATATCAATATAGTCCATAACTAAATTACTTTCTCCTATCCACAATAAGTGATTTTTTTGACTGTTTTCACATGGATTAAGAAATTCACGTTTTAACATTAGTTAGCAATGAAATTGACCATATTAACATTTACTATCTCTTCACATAAACACTCTTAGCACATACTCCAACACTATTTACTCCAAGGGCAATGTAGGAAAAAATAATTAATTCATTCTTGAAATCTGGAAAAATCACTTATTTTGGACCACAAAAAAAGACCAAAAAATCACTTATTGTGGACCGGAGGGAGTATTTTTAATACTTTTAAATAGCGGAGCAACTATAAATTTTATTAGGAAGAGTCAAAATATAAAGGTTCGGCGAAGTTTGAAGGTTTGAAAGCTAAAAGAATGATTTTGATTGTCGATTCTTGATTTTGATATTATTCATGGCGTTTTAAGCCCTTGGATAAGTTTGGATAGGATATTGGGACTAGTTTGTATGATTGGACGGGGTCCCCTGGGCCTCGGGTGTGTTTCAGGATAGTTTCGGACTACGTCAGAGTGTTTTGTTTTTGCTGGTTGCTGGTTCTGATTTTGTTCTTCGCGAACGTGATTTGAGATATGCGTTCGCAATGATGGATTTGAGTAGGAGGTCGTTTGTGCTTTGCGTTCGTGATTGATGAGTCGTGTTCGCGAAGGCTTGGGGCAGTGGTGCTCCGCGTTCGCTACAGGCAGGTCGCGTTCGCGAAGAAGAAGCTGGGACTGGAGGCTTGGCCTTCGCGTTCGCGAAGTAATGGTCGCATTCGTGAAAGGCTGGCCTGGTAAGTCATTGCGTTCGTGGGCCTCGGCTCGCGATTGTGTAAAAGATTTTGGAGCAAAAGCTGAGTCGCGTTTCGCGAACGCGAGGCACATGTCGCGTTCGCGAAGGGTAATGAATGGGCAGACCTTATAAGTTAAAATTTCGGGATTTCTTCTCATTTTTTATTTGGGATCAATTGGAGCCGATTTTGGGGCGATTTTGAAGGGGTATTTCACCCACCTATTGCGGGTAAGTATTTCTAACCCACATTTGATTATATTTCATGAATATGTATGAATTTAGACTTGTAAATTCATGATTTGAGGAAGAAAAATATGAGATTTTTGGAAGATAACCTAATATGGTATTTTTGAGTTTTGAGTATTGGAATAAATTATATATTTGAGTTCGTAGTGCTATGTGTAATATTTATCTTTGAGAATTTTTTGAATCCAGGCGCGCAGGCCCGGGGTTGAATTTTATGAACTTTCGTGTGGGGTTGAGGATTTGTTTCAAATTGTTAAATTACGAGCTTTTTAGTATGTTTTGGTTGGTTTGCACGTTCTTTGGCTAGTTTTGGATCGTTTGGCATGTGGTTGAGGTGTTAGAGAGGAATTGGGGCCGATTATCAAAATTCGGAGCAAGACAAGTCTCATGTCTAACCTTGTAAGAGGAAATTCACCTACGTAGGTGCTATACTTGCTACATGCTACGTGTTATGGGAGCTACATACATATGACGTGACGAGCGTCCGTACATATGCTAGGTTCTTGATTATGTCCGTGTAGACTTAGAATCACACCATGCTTTAATTTTCTTGCATATTTAAACGCTTTAATTTATGTTTTAGCCTGAGACTAGAATTGCGTAGAGTATCGAACTTTGCTATTCTACAAACTTGATGTGGTACTTGATTAGACGCGGAAATTATACTTTTTCTTACGGATTTCTCCCGCATTGTATGTATTTTTCCAAAGTTTCTTGATTTAATAACTCGTACATATATTCGCGAGATGGGCTGATGACCCGCCAAAAGTTTTACTATTTTTATGGGATCGGGTTGAACGCCTCTGTAGTACTATTATGGGATCAGGCTAAATTCCTTAATAGTACTATTATGGGATCGAGCTGAATGCCTTAGCAGCACTATTATGGTATCAGACTGAACGCCTCAGCAAAACTATTATTGGATCTGGCCGAACGCCTCAGCAGTACTATTATGGATCAGGCCATACGACCTCGACAATATTATGAGATCCATCTACGGATCGGGTCATACAACCTCGATAGTATAATAAGATCGAGCCGTATGACTCGACGGTATTATGTTATCGGACCATACGACTACGACAGAATCGTGTGAGTTTGACCTTAACACTATTATGCGATGCATCTATGGATCAGTCCGTACGACCTCTGCAATTTTATAAAATCGGGTCGTGCGTCCATGGCGGGATACTGTACAATCACTTTTATGGGATCGGGCCATTCGCCTCGGTAGAATCGTGCGTAATATTCAATAGGGAGTCAACTTACATATGAGTATTCTTGACTTGAGATTTGATATTGGTTATCATTATTTCCTTCGAGGCAGTTTATGGTATTTGATGATTTCGTAATTATTTTTACGTTAGGAATCATGTTAATTATATTTATCTGTGTTGTTGTTACTTGTTGCGTTTCATACCTGTCTATTTTTATTGTACTTGATTATTGGACTACTAGTAAGTGTTGATGTCGACTACTCGTCACTACTTCTTCGAGGTTAGACTAGATACTTACTGAGTACGCGTTGATTTACGTATTCGTACTACACTTCTGCACTAATTGTGGAGGTACTGAGACGGGTACATTCGGGAAAAATCACATCCTATGGTAGGAGTTGGGTCGTGACAGATTTTTAGAAATAACATGAATATTTTTCTTATGATTGGAAGTGCTTACCTCCTTGATTCATCTTCAGCATCTGAATCACTCATTTCTATCATTCCTAGTACTTCCTTTTTAGTATTTCTTTCCAGATCTGACAGTGTCACAAGGGAAAATTTCAATGTCTTCATTTCCATGCTCTGTTGACTGTTGTCATTAAATCCCATATACCCTTTGCAGATGTACATGAGGACAACTTGTAGAGCATACTCCTTTGAAGACCTTTGTAGAGCATATCTTTCACCTTTGCATTTTTCAGAATCAATTCAAGATCTTCAGTGTTGTATTCTTCTTCTTTCTTGGCCCTTTTAGTTCCATCATTGTTCATCTTTATTGGCATCCTTGATCCATGACTGGTAATTAACCATAGATCATAGTTAGTAGCATGGAGAAAGACTTAACATACGCATCTTCATTCATCAAAATGATGTCCTTAACAGGAGGTCTTCCAATGAGCAATCCCAACTGCACAGTTGATGACATATTGGAATGTTTTCTAGTTCCTCATACTCAATTACTGCATACAGAGATATAGCTTCACTGTCACTACCTTCCTCTTCTTCATTTTCACTATCTTCATAGGCTGCCAGGAAGGCCTGTTTCATAATCTCAGTGAAGACTTTTGCTTGACTTTTACTGTGATTTAGGGCACGTTCTTTCAGTCTATCCCTTTTTTCTTCTCAGCTCGTTCTTCTTTTTTATTCAATTCCCCATATTAGGCATTCTTTGACCATGTGGTTCATGTTTTTGCACTTCTAACAATCGTCAAATGACGCCTTATCTATGGGCTTAGTTTTGCTAGAGCTTTCTTTCCTTGGGTTGTTTCTAGGATTCTTCATATATTTTTTAATTTTTTTCTACAAACATAGCCATGTCAACTTCATCATCATCAATTTCACTTCTATTAGTAGATTTAAGGACCAAGCCTTATCCCTTTTTTGGTCTTCCTAACTCCAGGTTTCTCATTTCATGAGTTTTCAAGTTCTCTATCAGTTCAGTTAGTGTGATCTTGTCCAGCTCTTTGACTTCCAATATAGTAGTGACCTTCGTTTCCCATGAAGCAGGAAGAATTCTCAAAACTTTTACTGGCTACTTCTTCAGATGTGAATATCTTTACTAGTGACTTGAGTTCATTAATGATGATGGTGAATGTTGTAACCATTTCCTGAATGGGTTCAGATATCTTCATCGAGAACAATTCGTAATTTCTCATTTGCATTTCAATTCATGACTTCTTTACTTGATTTCTTCCTTCATGAGTCATTTGAAGAGCATCCAAAATTTTCGTAGCATTTGAGCAAGCGGATATCCTCTTGTACTCATTAGGACCAATACCACAAATGAAAATTTTCTTGGCTTTAGTATTCTTTTCCATCATCCTGAAATATATTGCTACAAACTCAGATGGAACTTTGGGTACTTCTGCTCATTTTGCTTAGTGGGAACAAGAGGCCCCATATTGACTATGGTCAACAATAAATAGTCTTATACATTTAGAAAATCCTCCATTCTTGTCTTCCACCAACTTTAGTATGTATCGTTGAATAAATGAGGCCCGGTGATTGACTGTCCTTCATTAATGACGGGTGTTGCATTCATTTTTAAGGATCTCTCAAGGTGTTAGACAGATGTAACGATCCAATAGGTCATTTTGAATTCTAGCATCCCACTTTTTAATTTTAGACCTTATATAACTTAAATTGATGATTTATGAGTTGCGTGCATGGTCCATTTTTGATTTTTGGAAAGCTTAAATGTGATAATTTTTTAACTTGAAAATGGTTGGAGTTGACCACGATCAACATTCTTGGTAAATCACCTCAAATAGGGTTTTGACGATTCCGATAGGTTTGTATGATGATATTTGACTTTTACGCATGTTTGGTTGGGGTCCCGGATGGTCCAAGGCTGTTTCGACGCTTATTTTGCAAAGTTGAAAATTTTGAACTTAAGAACTTTGAAATCTTTGAGTTTTGATTGTTGATTGTTGATTCTTGATGTTATTTTTGGTGTTTTGAGCTTACGAGCGAGTTTGTATGAAGTTTATATACTTGTGTGAATGTTTGGAGTTGGGCTGAGGGAGCTCGGGTGAGTTTCGGGTTGGTTTTCGGCCATTTTTGCACAATTTGCCACAACTAATGTGTTGGTAGTGTAGTGTGTATCGCGAACACAGAGCTACTCTCGCGTTCGCGAAGGTTAATTGGG